TCTTGTAACAGCTGTCAAACAATCTTATATAATTTACCCCAATACTCAGAATTACAACATTGTGGTTATTTTTAATGTCACTTAAAAATAAATAAATACTGGAATTCAATTCCTGAATTGTGGAGATAATGTGGGAATAGTAACAGTGATGACACTGGAAAAAAGTTGCCGCCTGGATGAGATTTTTAAAAGGGAAAATATTTGTCCGTATTGCTTAGTTTCTCATATTCTGCTAACAAAGTTAAAAGCCAGTTGCAGAACTGAGTTAGGTCCTACAGCAAGGACTAAAATTGCTTTCATTGATCTGAAGGTTCTCTAAATTGGTAAATAGTTTCTCCCAGCACTGATAGCCTTGACCATACTGGCTATTAAATTCTAGGAAATGCAGATACTTGAAAGTGTACTTGGGCTGGAAAAATGGACTAAATATATGGATAAAAAAATAAGGCTTCCTGAATTTGAGACCATACTACTTGATGGGGAGGCAAAAAATTATGAGGTTCTGGAAGATAACTCAATTATTTGCTTCTCATCTTTAAGTAAGATAGGAGAAATACAACTCAAAGATGATACTGCTACATAGTGTCTTTCTTCTCCTTCACCATTTGCTAACATATAGCGGAGTCATCAAGAAACATAACTTTACATATCCATGCCACATAAGTAAGGCTATATGAAATTACAGTGCTTATCGCCAAAAAAAAGTCTGGAAAAAGAGGAAGCAGTAAAGTTTATTCATATTAGGACAAACTTTGTGAGTAGAACTCCTTGGAGTTCTTGTTAGTCATGTAGTTGAAAAATTAAATCACTGACACAGAAACTACTGAGCTTTGTGGGCTGGAGATTAGGATGATAGCTGGAAGGTGCATATTGTTAAAAAAAATAAGTCAAGGAAAGGCATCGTGAAACCATCCTCAAACCTATGCTTTGGTATCTTCCTTGGCATATTAATGACAGCTTATAGACTGGTATTGGTATTCATTAGAGAACTCATTTTAAAAATCTAAGAATTTCAAACTTAAATTTGATATTCTATAATAGAAATTATTGTGATGTTGTACATCAATGTTTATAATATATATCTTTAAAGTGTCTGAGGAGGTAAAAAGTGCAGCTTTCCTCAAAGAATCCTTATAGTTTGCACTATGAATTCCAAGGATTAAGAAAATGACAAATATCAGGCCATGCATGTTTTGTTCTTTTTGACAGAAGCTCTATTAGTTTACTCATAAGAAACAAACTCACTTTAGAGTTTTGGGTTGACAATGAACTGGTCTCTGTTCTTTTGGCTCACTCTTAAATATTAAATTAGTATAACAAATAATGCTAAAATATTACTGGAGCCAAACTAGTTCTTTTACTTGGATTTAAAGGTTGTCTAGTTATAACAAATGTTTTCAAAATTAAGTTATTGTATTTCTTTTTTCCAAAATAAACTTTCTGAACAACTTCTGGTTTCAGTGTCAAGTCAGTATTTTTAAAATTTTCCCTGGAGAAAAGAATTGGATCAATATTAATAAATTCCAAGACCGACTCTGGAAAGACAGCCACTAAATTCTTCTGATGGTCTGTAAATCACCATCCACAGAATTGAGCTACTGTATAATTAGGACAATACTATTATTGTGCACTTCATTCAAAGCAACCAATGGTTGTCTATCTCATAGTTTACAAATCCTGCTGGTAAATCCAGACATTAATCGGCTTGTTTTGAGGGAAACTTGAGTTATTTACTCAGGATGCTAATTCTGCAGTCAATTCCTTCCTTGAAGCCTTTTGCTTTTAAGGAAAGGCAATTTGGCACTTAACATTAAATTGTCACTTTGCAGGTACACTCAAAGCAATCAACATAGGCGTAAACTCTGTAAAGTCCTTTCGTTATCAGGTAATCGAAGGGCTAAGTGGGTTTATAAGGTACCTTTAGTTGATACCAACATCAGAGTTTGGGGAAGGAGCAGAGGATACCTATATAAAACCTCAAATGGAAATAACTACATAAACCCTCAAAGGGAAAAGCGCAAAGGTCAATCCTCAATGAAGCAACTCTAGGATGCCTTTTAATACAGTCTTTGCACAGCGACACCATAAGCACCCAATTATTCCAGGCGTTCATCACCTTCTTCCACATCTTTCAGGTTGAGAACTTCAAGGGTTCCTTTGCCTTTGGTTTCACACCTGATCAATTCATCGATCTCCCGGAAGCAGCCTGGATCCACAAGGCAGACCTGCAACATTAGCACTGTGTTAGGTTGGAAAGCTTGTCGCAGCTTCTGCCAACCTGGCAGTTCGAAAGCATGTAAAAATGCAAGAAGAAAAATAGGGGCCACCTTGGTGGGAAGGTAACAGNGCTACCTGTTCTCCAGAAGTGGTCAGAACCTGCTGAATACCACCTCTGTTCTCCTAGTCTAGGATTCTGAGTCTCTACCATACTTGCCCTTTTATCTAAGCTGCACAAATCCTTCTCCCCGTTTCCTTTTTCTGAAATACACACAGTGGAGCTTGCATTGTCATGCCTTGAATGACAGTTCCATCACCCAATCATCCCAACTTGTGAAATTAATCTTCTACACATTCTTCTCCTGCTCCTGAATCTTTAGGTAACTACCCTTCCTGGGAAAATGACTAATAGTACAGTTGTTTCTGTAGTTCATCCCTATGAAGCTGCTTTTAGAGATGCTTCAACCTGATCATTTTTTGAAGGTGACTCTTCAGAAGAAAAAAAGATCACTTGAGTCTAATAATAGGATTCTTGTAGAATCCTGACTTGATTTTATGTATTATCCCAGCCAATACAATATTCCTAATGTTAATCATAGACATTACATATATATTCTACTTAAATCATTAAGACTTCTGGAAATAATAATTTGTGCATTTCACACAAGTGCACTTCAGTCCTTCATAAAGGGACAATTTCCAGACCAACGGAGTTAAATTTGTATTTTTTGGCTTTCAGAATGTTTCATGTTATCCTGAATAAATAAAACCTCAATTAATGGCTAATATACTGCTTTTTTAAAGGCTCCTGTTTGGATGAAAACTCTTGAAGCAGACCTGTTTAATAATCTGCAACCGTCCTTTTCACCATCATGCCTGCTAAACGTGATTGAGAATACCATGCCCAGTGCAGCAACAGAAAACTCTTTTCCAACCCATCCCCTGGTTATTAATAACATGGAAACAGGACACCGAAAGCACATTAAGGTAACCGGCTTTGCATTTCATTTTGTGTATTCCATATCGTACAATGTCCTATCTACAAATCTTTTCCTTTGATGATTTGTCTGTATCTCAATGAAGTATTTACACAACAGTTGGTGCTCAAGATTTAAGTCAGCCACTTATTTGAGCTTCTGCTCTAGAAACTACACAGATGCTTTGGGATACTTGTGACTGGACACAAAGTGCAGTTATTCCTTGTTGCTTATCTTCAAGATGCCATTGAATTTGGAAGTACCATTCAGCTCCTGGGTTCAACTGACAGATCTATTCCCTATCAGTCAGTCAGTCAGTCAGTCAGTCAGTCAGTCAGTCTATCATCTTTCTCTCGCTAATTTTATATTCCCCTCATCTGATGATGACTCTTTCTTCAAATGTCTTTTCCCAAAGAAAAATCCAAAAGTAATCAGTACTTTCAAATAAGTATTAAAGAGAAAAGGAAAGGAGAATAGAATCAATATAATAGCCATGCGATCAGAATTTTTAAGTCGCACAATGAGATTTTTAACTTGATATATGGAGTTACCTTCTCTCTCTGAGCTATTGGATGAGGGGAGATTCCATGGAGTGGGGGGAGGAAGAGAGGGATGGAGGGGTAGATAGATTTGTTTCAATGCCTTCTTCAAATACCAATCATACTTGTCATATGTGATCACTTGATACATTATACAAATGTGATTTAGAAATGTGGTTTCTTCATTTCTTGGC